AACTTAAATTACTTCAAAAAATGCTGGGAGAAAGCAAGGAATAACTATGTATGTTCAGCTGTAAAATCTGTTATTAAAGAAAAAGAGATGGAAACTATTTAGGCAATCTGCTTGTGAAAAAAAGAAAAAAAAAAGAGATCTCAACATCAAAAATGTTGAGATCAAACAACACATTCAACGTTTTCTAATACTCTAAAAGTCCCTTCCATTCATATGCAGGCCTAGCTGTTTGAAACTGATCTAGATGATGGTAGGCACTGAATCTGTTTTCTAAATGTGAGGGTCCCCTCTTTTAGCAAGCAACTCTCAGTCATGTAGCAACTCAGATCTGTGGTACAAGCCAAGTAAAAATAAGTAATCACTTCATCACAGATACCACAATAACACATTGATAAGCCTTCTAACAATCAGAGGACATGCCAAATATATCAGAGGATAACCAAATAACAATTTACAGAAACTGCAAAAGACATAGAAACATACTACACTGCACCAGTAATATATGATCAGTAAAACTCGAATTGAACAATAGTGCAAGTTCCTTTATAGAAACACAGAACACAGTCCTTGCTTCATGTAACACTACTTTGGGTTATGATGGCTTAGTTAAAAGACACCAGTACCCCAACAACATGGTTTAAATTTAATTTACTGTGGTATATTAACTTCATTATATTAATATACTGTGGTATATTAACGTACACTGCACTCTAAGGAGTTCTTCAGCTCAAAAACTACTGTGAACATCACATGCACAGTGAGCGAGCAGGTACAGTAGAGATTCTTACAGCAGTCGGGAGATGGCACTGCATACAGACAGCAAGCATGGCGCTGCACTGTCTGTGTGTCCACCAGGTAAAGCTACATAATATTTTGCAAACACCAATTATCACAAGAAGAAATGGTGGACAAAGATGAAGCAAAACAATGAGAAGTCACAATGTGAAAGGTACAATTTGAATGAAAGATAAATGGAGTTACAGAAGAAATCATGACCACAGAATGTTTGACACACTGCCTTTCAAGACTCTAGATTTAAAGCCAGAGGAATGTTGTGAAGATGATCTTGATAAGAAGCGGGACTGTGACAAAAGGTATGAAGATGCCACAGAGGAAGTAACACTGGCAAACATTCCACACTGAAATGAACCCTAGGAGCTATTTTATAACACTGAAAGAGCAAAGGCTAAAAATGTCCAAAGCTGGTCCCAAATTAGCAAGAGTGGGAAAAGTCACCACAACAGAAACATGTTTTCTTCATATCATAAGCCTGTGTCTTGAAGATGGCAAAGCAATGTCCAACTACTCTTCATATGTTTGATCTTTTTACAAAGAAATAAAGTGCTTTTTTAATAAGCCTAATGCCTTAGTGTAGTAAATAATTGGTTTCACTTAACATTTTAAAAATTTTCCTATGCCTTTATAATGAACAGTAAGAATTTTTTGTGTTTTATTGCTTTTTGTTTCCGTTTTCTGGTTTGTTCTGTTTTGTTTATTTTTTGTGGTACTGAAGATCTAACTCACAACCTCACGCTTCCCAAGCAGACACTGTGCCACCGAGCTATATCCTATGTTTTGAGACAAGATCTTCTTAAGTTCCTCAGACTGGCCTCAACCTTGCAATCTTCTATCTCAGCCTCCTTAGTAGCAAAAAATACAAAGATGTGCCACCATATCTGGTTTAAGTAAATAGAGTTTTTAATGTTGTGACAAATATTTAAAGGTTACAGAACAAGTGTAATTTCTTGCCACTTTTCATCGTTTTAGCTTACACGATCAGTTTTATTGTCTAGCCCTCCCATGTCCTCCCTGACCCCTTCCCCTCTCTCTTCTCATCCTGGCTGCCAGGAGAAGAGCTCTTTCCTTCACCATTGCTCCTGACATGATGTGCTGCCTCACGACAGACCCAGAAGGAAAAAGCTCAACAGCTTTCAGGAAATCTCTGAACTATAAGCTAAAATAAATCTTTCTTCCTTGCACATTCATTATTTTGGGTATTTTATCACAGTCACAGAACTAAACTAACATACTATACACTGCCACAAACATTTCTTTCTTGCTTAAAATACACAGACTCATTCATTACCTATATTTTTCATATAGGACCAAAACCTCTTCCTTGAATGTGGGGCAAAGGGTAATGCTTCATAGCTTCTTTTATGCATATGTAATACACTTAACTGTCCTATTATTTAAAGTCCTACTGTTATCTCAAGTATAACAACAAGATAAAGACACTAACAAAAGACCCTGAATGTTAAGTATGTTTAGATTCTTATGATTTTCTCAATCTTTTGTAGTTTGCTTCCCCATATATAATGCTATAGCATTTTTTACAAACCTCTGCTTTTCTTAAGCTAGGTTTCAAACTGGATTTTCAAGAGGTTCACTTAGTTTCGCAACAGGCAGCTCTCTTTTGAACTCACTACGCAGTTTACATGAGACTCAAAAGATAGTATGATTATAATAATAAAAAACAATGAGAATAATGAGGACATTGGTGGCACACACTTAACTGAAAGGAACAAAGGTGTACCGTACACTTTCGAAGGTAATCTATTATCTTTGGGAGCTTAGGATATTGCTGACATCAGGTAATATGCTTTTTAATGTAATGGGAAACAGTAAATAATCTGAGCTTACTAACAGAGATACATTCAGTTCATTCTTTCCTCTTGCCACCCCAGGCAACAGACTACACTTCCACAACCCTCCTCACTTTAGCAAATGTCAATACCCAGTCCCTCAAGCTAAAATCTTTAAGTCCTCTCTCCTGCCTTACCAATATCTAAGGTATCATCATTCCATCTTTCTCAAAACCCTCAAATATATCCTGGATCTATTTGCTTCTCTCCATATCCATCCCTATCACACACAGTTCAAGGTGGCGTCACTGCCTAATGAGCTCACTTCTTGACTAGTCGCCCAACTTTTATTATTGTCTAACACTTAGATAACTGTATGAAATGTGAATGAAACAGCACTGCTTCTCTGCTTGAAATTTTTCAAGGGGTAACTCTTATTCCTAAAGTAAAACTGAAACTCATCTTCATGCCCTACTAGATCCCAAAGGACCTACCCATACCTACCTGTTTGGTTTCATCTCATATCCATTCTGTTTTACGTGTGTTGACTCCCCTTGCCTGTCCTCCAATATACAGGACTTCCCCAGGGCCTCTGCATATGTAGCTCATTCTTTTAAGTGATTTTCTGTAAACCTCAGTATAATTTTTCACATTACCTCAAATATTATCCCTTCACAGGGGTTTCTATTAAATACCTATGGCAGTCTGTCTTCACATTCCCATATCTAAGATACTATATCACATCATATTTTATTTTTTGCCTCCTGACCAAACCCAACAACAATCCTCAATTATGCTTACATGTTTGTATCTCTATCCTTATATGTGGTCTTATTACAGCATGATCTTCCTGCATCTTAATCACCATTGTTTTCTTCGTGCAGCACACGATTTCTCACTCAACAAATGAACCATTTGATAGCACCCAGATAAAGATATTCTCTATGAAATGCAGTGATATTTCTATGCATAAAATTCCTAAGCTGATATCCACAAAGAACAGTGAGCCAGGCTCAGAGGAGTCTTCCTGTAATCCCAGCTACTTATGAGGCTGAGGCAGAAATATTGCAATTTTAAGGCCAGCCCAGGTAACATAATGAGAGCCTGTCTAAAACAGTAAAAAAAAAAAAAAAAAAAGGGACTGGAGATGTAGCTCAGTGATGGAGAGCCAGCCTTGCATGTGCAGGCCCCAAGTTTAATCCTTAGTATTAAAAAAGGAGGAAAAGGAAGAGGAGAAAGAAAATGAGGAATAGGAAGAGAAGGAGAAAAAGGAGAAAGAAGAAGAGGAAAAAGGAGAGGAAAAAAAGAAGGAAAAGAGCTGTGCAACTAAATTTCATAGCAACATTATTCATAATAGTAGAAAGCTAAAAACAAACCAAATCCTCAACAGGAAGATAAACAAATTACAGTACATTCATAGTAAGTAATATTTAAGTAATAGAAAGGAATGAACCGTGATACAATGTCTCAAAAACATTTTGTAAAAGAAAGTAAACAGAATCTATATGATTCCATTCATATAAACTTGAGAGCAATACAAATCATATATAGTAATAAAAATTAGAACAGCAAATGCCCGTAAAAGTTATAGACTGACTGCAAAGAAACAAAACAGAACTAAAAATGTTCTACATCCTGATAGATCTTTGAGTTACATGGGTGTACACATTTATAAAATCTGATGAAATTGTTTGGTGAATGTAAACTTAATCAAAATTTTCTTAAAAAACTAAAGTTCTAAATTTGTTGACCCAAGATCATGTAAGATACAGAAACCCAAGAAACAGAGCTACTTATTAAGTTGCTCAATTGTCTTCTAAACCGCTACAACACATATACAAGCCATAATGGAAGGGCCAATTGATCCCTAATAGTGAGATGCTGTAATCTATAAAATGACCTTGTGACCTGAATCATTCATCACAAACTGATATTAATAACAACTCAGACACAAGCTGAACAAGACTATATTTTTCAATATCTTTCTACTCTCAAAAGCACCTAAGAAATGCCATACATGAACTCTCGATAATATACTAATATGTGGCATGAAAACAAAAAATGCATCACAAAAAGAATAGAAGATAGATGAGATGATAAACACCTAAACAAGAGGATCACAAGTTCAAGCCCAGCCTAGGCAACTTAGTTAGATCTTGTCTCAAAATAAAAAATAAAATGGGCTAGAGCTACAACTCAGTGTAAAGACCCTAAGTTCAATCCTCAGGAACAAAACAAGTAAATAAAATAAAAATAATTTCATTTTTTTTAACATAACTACTGAAAAACCTATACGTACATTTGTGCCATGCATTGGATTTCTACTGAATAACACTGATCTAAAACCTCTACATCTAAATGCAGGTTATCATTTTCATTATTACACATTAATTTTTCTTTCATTCGCCTCCTAACCTTTTCACTTGATTGTCTTCTTTTCTTCATTTGAATGAAATCTGTTTCCACCCTTTCAGCCAGCTCTAGTTTCCTCTTGTTTCTTTTAAATGCAGCTAAACTGAATCCTATAAAAGAAACATTAAAAGTAACATTTGAGAATTACCATGAACAGTCTTTCTAGACAAAGTCCTTAAGAATATTCAACTAAGAGATTTTAAAAAAAGGATTTTTAATGTGCCTTGACATAATAAAAGAGTAAGAAATAACCTAGGATCAAAAAAAATTATGAAAATGACCAAAACCAGATAGACAACTGAGTCCAGAAGGTAAATACTACCCAGGGGCTGATTCATGTCACTTCTAACCCTGATTTTGCAGATCTCCATACTTAGGAGACAGAAAATAAAACTATGAAAAAAGGGAGCATTAAAAACACACTGGAAATATCCAGAAAGAAAAGGGTGAAACCCAAACAACATATCCAGTAAAAAGAAAAAAGAGAAGCCACCATAAAATACTAAACAAGAAAGCTGCATTTTTTAGCCTTGGTTCTAGACACAAGAGGGAACGTCTCCCTGAGAAATCTGTAACTAAGAAGGGCATTTGGACATGTTCAGAGAAGTCATATTCTCTGTGTCACCTGAGAGAAAAAGCTGATCTCAATGTCTTCATACACAAGCACAAAACTCCCTGAAAAAACACATATAACTTGACTTAGCAAGACCTAAATAAATATTAAATTAACATAGTTTAAAGGCTTGCCTCCTGTGGGCAGCCAGTGCAGGCAGGGAGAAAAAGCCAGACATGCCGCTGCACATCCACCATCATCCAGACACTTGGTTCCCTCAAGTAAACAGCTAGTGCACAGAGAAACAGCCAAATATGCCCCATGTGCCCAAGGTCACCACTGGAGACACTTACTTCCCCCACTTACTTCCCACAGGCAAGGGCAACAAGCATGGGCCCACAGAATCAGACAAAGAAGCGCCTGTGTGCCTGCCACCACTGGGGGAGTCCTGGTGTGGTCACACAGGCTAAGAGAAGCAGCAGCCCCACCAACACCCAGCCATGGCTATCGGGAAAGCCTCAGTGTAGCCATGCGGATCTAGAGAAGTGTGCCCCAGACCCCACTGTCTTCCCCAGCAACCTGGGTTCAGAGAAACCCAGTTACCTGCCTATTCCCTTGCACTTCAGAGGGGAAGCCAATGCAGGAAGCACTTGAGACCACCCAACAAGCTTGTCCAGAGGAATCCAGGAAAATGTCAAGATGAAGGAGCAAAAGGCAATCTCAGACTTCTAGCCAACACAGAACAAGTCTGGGAGACACAGACATGCAAGAGGTTGTAGGTCACTTGCCTAAAAGGTCTGACCGGATAACAGCTGAAGTAAAGAATCGACTTCATGAGGCTATACTATAAAAGTAATCAGATCAGAAATAATATTTCTCGTAAAGAAGAAATCACAAACATAATGCAAGAATGCTGAGCACATGTGAAGAGGACAGATAAAAAAAGAGCATAGGAAAAAGACAGAAATCTTGAATGAACAATATAGGAAGAAATTACAAAGCATGAAACAGATGCAAAGAGATATCTAGGAAATTAAAAACTTCATTGAAAGGTGGCAAAACGGCTTGAAAGAGACTGAAGATAGACTTTCAGACTTTGAAGACAAGATTGCAACTAGCAATCATGAAATAAAAGATCTCTCAAAAATAACAAGGAACCAGTAAATAATTCAACAGCTGCAAGACCACACAAAGGAAAATAATTTAAGAGTGACAGGTGTTATCAATAAAGCACAGGCCAATACAAATGACATACAAAGACTATATACAGAAGAAATAGCAGAAAACTTCCCAAATATGGGAAAAGGACCTGCCATACAGATGAGTGAGGCATACAGAACTCCAACTAGCCATAACCAAAACAAATCTATACCCAAACATATGATTCCAGAAATTCAGCACAAGAACAGAACATTAAAGGCTCTTAGAGAAAAGAAACAGATTACCTATAAAAGAAAACCCATCAGAATCATGGCAGACTTCTCAACACAACCATCAAGTCAAGAAGAGCTTGGAGTAAAGTGTTTTAAACCCTGAAAGAAAACAATTGCCAACCCAGATTGATCTACCCTGCAAAAATCTTTCAAAATTGATGGAAAAATAAGATACTTCCATGATAACGAACAGCTGAAGGAATTCATGACCACAAAACCAATCCTACAAAGAGCACTAAAGGATATTCTAGAGAGAGAGAGATAAAGATGATCATAGCTCCAGGAACAGCAGCAGAGGGGGATCTCCAAATACGGTAGGCAATGAACAGAGGGGAAAAGTGGGGGTTCAACAACTGGAGAATAGCATGGTAGAGATGAAACAATGTATGGCAGTTGTAACCATTAATGATGATGGCCTCAATTTGTCAATAAGAAGAAACACACAGAGAGTGGATCAAGAAATAAGATCCATCAATATGCTGTATACAAGAAACACATCTAACTCAAAAGGAAATTCACAGATGAAAAGTCAAAGGAGAGAAAACAGTTGTTCCATGTGACAGGAAACCAGAAAAAAGCAGGAGTAGCCTATCCATCTATTTCAGAATGAGGAAAAAAAGATGGTATTTTCATACAATGGAAAAGTACTGAGCTACAAAAAAGGATAATCTTCAGGCTCTTGTAGGTAAATGAATCCAACTTGAGATCATGCTCATGGGGGAAATGGTTTGGACTCATATGGGTGAACATCATGTTACCTCTTAGTGTAAAAAACTGAAGGAGTAAGTGGGATCTGAAATGTACCATAGATAGTAAGAAAGTGATAAGGGAAGAAAGGTCTAAAAAGGGAAGGTGGCAACCACTGTTAATTTCCTATTATCTTGTTTTGAATTCCTGTATTGTTTTCATAGTTTTGTTAGGTTTGATTTTATTTTGTCTTGTTCTATTTGATTTTACTGTGTCTGATGGTATGAACAGCTATTTTGAAAATAATGGGATGTATTATGGTAGCCATTGTTGATTTCCTATTATCTGGTTTTAAAGTCCTATAATGCTTTCATTCTTTTGTTTTGATAGATTTTATTCTGTTTTGTTTGATTTTATTATGTCAGATGGTACAGGAAGCTACTTTGAAGATAACAAGAGACATTATGGTAGCTATTATTGATCATGTTTTGAAATCCTGTATCACTTTCATTGTTCTGTTCTGATTTATCCTGTTTTGTTTGGTTTTATTCTCTTTCAAATTAAAAAAAAAGAATACTTCATCAAACATATGAAAAATAATCCAACAAGAATAAAAAGGTCAAGCCAGGCATGGTGACACATGCCTTTAATTCCAGCACTTGGGAGGCTGAGGCAAGAGGGTAGTTGTAAGATCCAGTCCAACCTGGGATACAAAGTGAGCTCAAGGCCAGGCTGAATTGCATAGCAAGACCTTGTCTCAAAAAGACCAAAAAAAAAAAAAAAAAAAGAATAAAAATCTCAGCCAAAGGTCAGAAAGTACCAGCTAACTTGCAAATACCATAGATACTATGATAACCAGATATTATGGCTTGTGTCCAGATGTTCCCCCACCAAAGCCTCAATGTAGTCACAGGTGGAGCTTTTCAGAGGTGGCTGGATCTGTTGTGTATGAAACTGGGATTCATGTTACAGTGCTCAGATTAAGGGTACTGGGGTTAAGGCTGTGAGTGCTACTCACCCAAAATAGCCTGATAAAGATAAAAGGGACAAAAAGAGGCTGTTTGTTTCTTGTTGCTTTTGCTGTATTCTGCCTGCCATGAACTATGTCTCCTCTGCAATGCTCTTCTGTCATCTACTCTGCCTTGGAGTAGCCATTAATGGACTGAAATCACTACAAACTGGGAGACAAATAAACCTTCCCTCCTTTAACTCTGGGTGTTGGGGAATTTTGTTCCAGCAATGAGAAAAACTAACTAAGACACCAGAAAAAAAATGTAAGACACGAGAAATAAAACGATACTACTGAAAAATATGGCTAAGGAACAAAAGATGATAAAATGACCAGGCAGATTTGAAGAGGCAAACAGGCTTCAAATTGTAACTACAGAATACTATGCTATATAATATTTTGTACTGTTATAACTACGGGATATTATATTTTATATAATTATAAAATGTCCTATAATTATATAAAATACAGAATATTATATTTGATAACCACATATATCAAAAATTTTAAGCTTAACATACAGATTTTAACACCCAATAACAGAAATTATAAAACAGAACATAATTCACAAAAAGGTTAAGTTTTCTTATAATAGCAGACTAAATTGTTCAGAGTAATTCTCCCTCTGAATGTTATTTAAGATGGTAGGTAAAATAGGAAAAATACTACCTTTAAAGAATTAAGAAAAAGGACTTCCGGGAGAACATGGCGGACAGATAACAGCAACTACCGGAGGCTCTCTGAAAGACTCGGCTCAGAAGCCAGGAATGGTGCGGACTAAGGAGACATAAGTCGGTGGAGATATGCTCTGCTGACTCAGGAACGAACTGGGCTGAGAGAAGCCAACTTGGAATGCAGTCCTGGTGCTAAAACAGGAACAGAAAAGACTCGGTGTGGAGGCTGGAACCGCGCCATTGTAAGCCGCGATTTGGGTTTCCCGCCGCGCGGCGGCTGGCTGCCTCTACAGTGGCTCAGCAAGGAGAGAGACGCGCGGAAGCTCTGAGAACGGCAATCTGCGAATGGCAGGGAGGTGTGCACTGACTTGTGGTGAGGTGAGTGAGAGAAACTGACACTCTACCACAGTTTGACTCCAGCAGAGGACTTTCTGGGCTCCAGCAGTCCTGCGGGAGCAGGGCGCGGTGGCGACTCCAGCCACACATACCCCTCTCGGGCGGGATTGGTGAAAAGTGCCTGGCCTGCATGACGCTGCGGGTGGACTCGGTAGGCTGTCCCAACCCAGATCTCAGAGCCTGACAGTGGCCGGGAGGGGAGACTCGTAGGCTGCCTGGTCCGTAACTCCCTGCTGCACAGCGGTGAGTGGGAACAACTAACTGGCGCAATTCAATCAGGCTGTGGCTGACTGGGAGAGAAGCTGGGCCTCTTATATAAGCTTGCATATATAAGGAACAGAGAAGAAGAGGCAGCATG